ACTCCCTATCCCTATCCTTCGACCCTCTTTCCTTCTCCTTCCCCTTCTCCCTATCCTTCTCCCTCTCCCTCTTCCTCCCATGCTCCCTATCCCTCTCCACCTCCCGCCCCTCACTCTCCTTCTCCCCTTTCTTCTCCCTCCCCTTCCCATCCACCCCACTCTTCCTCTCTCCATCCTCCTCCCCACGCCCCTCACCCTCCTTCTCCCCTTTCTTCTCCTTTCCCTTCCTCCCCTTCTCCTCCTCCTCCCTCCGGCTCCCACTAGACGCCTTCTCGCTGCTGCTGCGCATAGGGGAACTCGCTACTTGACGGCCCCCCACCCCACCGGCTGGGCTAACAGCAGGGCTCTTTACAGGTACTGGGATCTTCACCACTAGCCGATTTATTGTCGCAGACTCTCCTTTTTCTGCTGCTTCAGAACCTGCGGCAACATCAGCAGCTGCAGCGGCAGGAGGAGGAGAAGGAGCAGTGGCAGCAGCAGCAGCAACAGCAGCCACGGTTTCTGATTTACCCCCTTCTTCTCCAACCACACGAGCACCAGCACCATCATTCCCAGCTGCCCCTGCACCATCCTCTGATCCGACCCCACCTCTCGTTCCATTCAGTGTTTCCTCCAAGCCCGACTCTGTTTCCTTGACACCACTAGCTCCTTCGCCCCCCTCCCTCCTCCCCGCGAATTCAGCCCCTTTCTCCGCCTTCTCCCCACGCTCGTTCTCTCCGTCTTCCCCCTCCACCCCTTCGCCTTCCTTTGCCGTTCCCTCCTCAGCCAACCGCGGTCTCTCCGCCTCCCCTGGTGAGAATCTTCTGGCCTCCACCTCCCTTTCCTCCTTCCTTTCCTTATCCTCCTTTCCATCCTCTTGATCCTTCCCCTCCTTTCCTTCCTTCCCCTCCCTCCTTTCCCTCCGCTTCTCCTTCTCCTCATTCTCCGTCTCTTGCGAAGGCACAGCCTCTCCCTGCGGTTTGCTCGAACCAGCTCGCTCCTGCAGCTTCCCTTGCCCATCAGACGACTCAGCGGCAACAGAACCCACAGCAGACGCGGCAGCACCATCTCTTTCCGCTGATCTTTCTGCTTTTGACGGCTCACGGCCGGCCACAACGCCCTCCTCTTTCAGAACCCCTTTCCCTGGTTTGCTCCCCGTCCCCGCTTTCTTCCCCTCTTTTTCCTTCTCCTTCTCCTTCTCCATCTCTTTCTCCTTCTTCTCCTTCTCCTTCTTCTCCTCCTTTTCCTTCTCCTTCTCCTTCTCCTTCTCCCTCTCTCTCTCTTCCTCCGCTTGCAAATGCCCACTTCTTCGTTCCTCCCTCTCCGCTCTCTTCTTCTCCTCTCCCACTTCCTCCTCCGCAGCATCTCCCTTCTCCCCTCCTCCCACCCCAGAAACCTTACCCTCCGCCCGTTCCGTTCCTGTCCCTTTGCCTGCCGAGCCTACTCCTCTTGGACTCACCACCTTGCTTCCACTCCCACCCGATTTTGGTAACCCACTCGCGTGACCCTTCTGGTTACCACTTCGCAGGCTCCCAGGCGAAACCTGCGACTCCCCCCGGCCCCTGGGACTGCCCCCCGGAACGGACAGGGGGGAAGGGGGCGGCCGCCCCCCTTCCCCCGATCCGCCTCCCCCTCGCCCTCTCCCCGCCCCGGGCGTCCCACTGACGTCTCCCCCGTCCGCTGCCGAGCCACTAGGTTTGGCAGCCCGAAGCTGCCCCGAGCCTGCTGTGAGCTGGGTTGGCGAAGACGCAGGGGAGGAAACAGCGGACGGTCGCAGGGGTGATGCGGCCACAGGTGTGACTATAACGGGTGTCCCTTTTTTCGCACCCGCCCCCCCTGTCCCTGCTTCTGCTCCTGAAGCTGCTGTCCCTCCAGTTGCTGCTGTACCTACGTTTGCTGCGGCTCCCGTTCCCCCTCCCCCTGCACTCCCCCCTGCGCTCCCCCCTCCCCCTGCGCTCTTCCGCCCCATGTTCTCCGCGAGCGTCTCGTCCACGCGCTTCTTCCAAACCTCCACCAACCGCTTTGCGCGCCTCTGCACCTCCGCGTTGCGCTGGCTGCGCAGCTGGTTCACCGATTTGCCCACCACGCAGCTCTTAAGCGCCTCCAGATCCACCGGCAATCGCGCTAACGCGCGGAGAAGCGCCAATAAGAGGTCGTCTAGCGCGGCCTGATCGACTGTATCTCCCCCCCTGCTGCTTCCGCCGCCGCCGCTGCCGCTGCTGGTGTTCCCGTGGCTGTATTTGCCCTTGTGCGTTTCCTGCAACCATTCGTCTAGGGTTTTCAGGCCTCCTTTCACGATGAAATGCGACAGGCACGACTCCTCGTCCGTGGCTGCGACAGCGTGAGCGACCGCGCGACGACGTGCGACGGCGTCGGCGAAACTGAGCTTCCGTCGCCCGTCGCTCTTGTCGGAGTTCACAAGCGAGAGAAGCGACTCCACGGCTTTAAGATTCGGCAAACCACCTCCCGGTTTCGAGCAAACCGCATTAATGTCCGCGAGAAGCGTTGAAAGATGCTTGTCGAGCGGAGGCGAAGGATCGTGATGTGAAGTTCGATGCGCATCCTGCGAAGCTCTTGGTCCGGGATCACTACTATGAGTCCTCTGCCCCGCGTGTCCCGCGTTTCCCGCGTGTCCCGCGCTTCCTGCGTTTCCCGCGTGTCCCGCGTCGTGTCCATGATGGGATCTCTGCCCATGCGGAACGTGAGGAGCAGTCGACATTAACGATGCGAGGGGACGGGTCGGGCCGCCATGGCCGTCGCTGTCCCTCTCTCTGTGCGACCGATGCCGCTCCTTCCCGGTGTTCTCATCGTCGTCCCCCTCGCCCTGCCGTTGTTTTCCGCTCGGCATCCCGAACAGCCGTGAAAGTGCAAATGCTACGCAACCGCGACGTCTGATCTGATGAACGCGTAGGTTGGAAAGATCAATCAACCGCTAGATTGACTGGAACCACGAACAAAAGCCGCTCCTCCAGTAGCTAACCTCATGGCATGGATGCCCTATTTCTTCTCTTATATGCACTAATCGTGGTGCCTGGGAGTGGCGGATAGAGTCGACTTAAGTCCAATCAGCTGCTTTGGAAGGAGGAAAAAAAGAAAAAACGGAAAGTAGCAACCATTAATTCAATAGCTGGTCGAAAAAAGAGCAGAAGAAAACAAGAAAACAACAAAATAGAAAGAACTATGAAGTATAATAAATGCAACATGACACGCATGCGAAAAACGATCTGAATCTCTCAAATGGCTTGATGCGAATATAAACCACGAATAGCGTATTAGGATGCTCGCAGCTACGTTTGTATTGCACCTGCAAGCGAAAGAACCAACAGCCATAGATTAAATGATTTCAGACAGCTTACTCGCTCTACAGCTTCCCTGCGTCAGAAATTCGAAACTGGAAAGAAGATCGGAATTCAAATATAGTCGGCTTATGAGCCTCAGCATGACGGCTCGTGCTATCTTCCTCAACACTGTTCCGTTCCGAGATACTCTCAAAAAGCATCAATAACAACCATAGAACAGGAAGAATCGAGGAAAATAATTCAGATCTGCAGTGGTCGGAGGAAAAGGAGGAGGGGATAAGCGCAAGGGTTACAGAGAAGGCGGAAAAACGTGGGGGTTAGGTTAGGGGGAAGTTCGGTTGAGCGGAGTGGATTGTGCCCCTCGATATTTGGTTCAAGCTGCAATTACAGTACAAGAGTTTAGTTATATTTGAACGTTTAAGCATTTCTTGCTGCTGAGTTGAAACTACCATAACCTTCTAACAAAGTCAGAGAACCTGATTCAAATGGAAGGGGTGCGTTTCAAACGGAGGTGGAACGGGTCAGGGCATTCGAGACACAAAAATCTGTACACTGTATAGAGCCGCGCAATCTCGAGGGGGAACTGGCTGGGAGTTCAAACTTCAAAGGACGAACTGAGGGAGAACCAAGCGGTTTCGCGGAACGGAACGCGCATGAAAGGGACCAACCTGTCAGGTCAGGTGCATGCTAGCTCTTCAGAAATCGGGAAGACCCGTCGAAGAGACAGCCGGAGGACAGTCACGGAACAGAACAGAACTGGCTCGGCGGGATGTGGGGAAATGGGGAGATTGGCGGGAGGGAGTCAAGGGGAGCTTGGCTCGGAATCTCGGCTCGGATTGAAGAGCGAGCTACAGTAACTGTGAGTAAACCTTGCTGCAAGACAACAGCGTGCACTGTACTGCTGACGCGACACAAGGGCAAGATTGCCTTGTCACCTTCTGCAACTGGCACGACAAGCTGACAGTGTGAACAAGAATCGATGAGGGAGACCAGATCGAGCCATAAGCTGCTGCCATTTGCGTGATGTTCCCAAGGTCTGGTCTCCATCAACCGAGGGTTAACCATTCTAAACGAGCGAAAACACTGAAAAGTCTCGCTGATGCACACCAATTCCATACCAACTAGGAGCTGGCGGGATAATCAGATCCACGAGGTGTTTGTTCAGAAACAACAGCGTACGCACCTAGACATGCATCGCAACAAATGGCCTGATACCTCACATATTTCTGTTATTTCAATTGTTAACTATCAATTTCCACTCCAAAGTGAGAATTACTTTTCCCAGGAATCTCATTTTGTGTAATGTGCCAGGCGTTAAGCCTGCGTCTTGAACAGACCACCTCGAATGATTGACAAGACGGTGCTCTGTATGTATAGAACCAATTGGTCCATACAATAAAAAATAATACACGCCCAGCCGTAGAAGAGCAAAGAAACATTTTCTTAATTGCAATGGATATGTTTTTATTCTCATTTAGTGCAACCAGTACACATCCACCATTTTCAATCAACCGACATACAAATGAGCTGCAATATTCATTTACCGCTTGCCACCGGCCGTGGTATGCACATACACAGGCACCTGAGCCATGATGCGAACCGTCAGCGGCAACACCACAGGCTGCAACACCCCCCTTCCCCCCCCCTCCCCCTCCCCTCCCCCCCCCTCCCCTCACTCCCCCGCCCTCATTTACCATTTCCAAGTATGCACACAATTTTCGGTCAGCCAACGTACAGACGAACCCCAATAGCCATCATCTGCTTGTCACCGCCCGTGGTATGCACATACACAGGCACCTGAGACATGACACGGAGAGTAAGGGACAACACCACAGGCTGCAACACCCCGTCTCCTCCCCCACCCACCATCTTCAATCAGCCAACATACAAGCGAGCCCCAATGTCCATCAGCTGCTTGCCACCCCCTGTGGTATGCACAAACACAGGCACCTGAGCCATGATGCGAAGCGTCAGCGGCAAAACCACAGGTTGCAACACTCCCCCCCCCCCCCCCTCATCCACCATTTCCAACTATGCAGTCCATTTTCGGTCAGCCAACGTACAAGCGAGCCCCAATGTCCATCAGCTGCTTGCCACCCCCTGTGGTATGCACAAACACAGGCACCTGAGCCATGACACGGAGAGTCAGCGGCAGCACCACAGGCTGCAGCACACCCCCTTCTCCCTCGTCCCCCACTCCCGCTGCTGCCAGCGCTCCATCAACCAGCAAGATACTGTCATCCTCGTTATAAGTACCACCTCCTCCACCGTCTGCGTCATCATCTCCTTCAAGCAAATCAGGCGAGATGCTACGGGCAAGGTCATCTGCAGCCAGGCCTGAAATTCCAGTAGAATTCTCCGAACCCCCACTTGCCACAGCACGGCCGCTTCTCTCCTCGTTATCACTGCTACTACCGATTGTATCCCCGCCGTTCTTCTGAACCAACGCTGCTGGCGAAATCAGATGGGCCAAATCATCTGCTGGTAGATCTGCCACCGCCGCTGCTGCTCTGCACTCTGCAGCAGTTCCAGCCGTGCCGTTCCGAGCCTGGTCTTTCCGAACCTTTCCGTTCCGAGCCTTGGAGTTAGCCTCGGAAGGACGAGGCTTGGCGCTAATGATGACAGTGCTAGTGGCAGCGACCCATTGGCACGTGGTGTTGGGGATAGAGTTGAAGTGGATGGGTCGTTCCATCTGCACAGACAGGAGGGAGGAGGGGAGAAGAGAGGAGGGGAGAAGAGAGGAGGGGAGAAGAGAGCACGGCGGGGCAGAGAGCATGGCGGGGCAGAGAGGGAGGGAAGAAGCGAGGGAGGGAGCACGGCAATGAGCTTAAGCACCCAAGCTGGAGCACCATTGGCAGGTGGTGTTGGGAATTGGGATGACATGAATGGGTCACTCCATCTGTAGGGTGTGGAAGGAGGAGAAAAAAGGCAGGGCATGAAGGGAGGGAGGGAGCGTGGAAAAGAATAACAATTGAGATAAATAACCATTGGCAGGTAGAGATGACGCGAATGGGAGGCCTCATCTGCACAGTGGGGAGGGGGGAGAAGAACAGGCAGCAAGCTCACCACAAAGCGTTCAATGTAGACGTTCATGTAGCGCGGCCCGATGTTCACCACCCAGGCATTGGAAAGGCACCCCTGGGTGCGGCGCAGCAGCAGGCACAGGAACAGCCTCTCGCTCGCCTCCTGCTTGCATCTACCCTTCCAGTAAACACCCGGCATCTACTCACCCCAAAGCGTTCGATGTAGACGTTCATGTAACGCGGCCCGATTGCCGTCACCCATGCGTTGGAAAGGCACCCCTGGGTGCGGCGCAGCAGCAGGCACAGGAACAGCCGCTCGCTCGCCTCTTGCGCGTATCGGGCGGCGAGCTTCCTCTCGTTGCACCGCGTCGCCACGTCAGCAACGGTGTCGGCGGGCGGCATCGCTCGTTCCTTGTGCACCAGCTGGCACTCGTGCCGCACTGCGGTTACCAGCTCGCGACGTAACAGGCTCTTCTTGTCTTCATTCGCCCCTCCTCCTCCTCTCCCTCCCTTTCCTCCTCCCCGTCCTCTCCCTCCCCGTCTCCCTCCTCTCCCTCCTCTCCCTCCTGTCCCTCCTCTCCCACCTCGCCCTCCCTGCATACCCTCCTCCCCTGCAAACTCTCCCCTCCCTTCTCCCTTCCCCTCTCCTCCACTCCCTCCACTCCCTCCACTCCCTCCACTCCTTCCACACCCTGCCAGCAGCCCCAGCGGATCCCCCACAGCAGTGAGCACCCTACCTCCAGCCGCTATCCCAGTCAGCTTCCTAAGCAGCGTAACGTTGACATCACCACTCACATCATGCCTATTCCCTCCTGCTCCTTCTGCTCCACCCCTCTCTCCTTTCTCACTTGTCGCCCCACCTGCTTCTCCTGCTTCTCCTGCTTCTCCTGCTTCTCCTGCTTCTCCTGCTTCTCCTGCTTCTCCTGCTCCCCTTCCTGCACCCAATCCCTTCTTCTCCCACTTCACACTGCTGCTCAGCCCCATCCTCGCTATAAGCCTCTCCTCTGCCGCCAGCGCGGCCGCCAGCTGGCGGTGCACGATGACGTCAGCGTAGCGGCGGATCGGGGAGGTGAAATGCGTGTATAGGTCGAGAGCGAGCCCGTAATGAGACGTCCACTCGCCTTCTCCACCAGATATACCTGCTTTCCCACCAGAACTACCTCCCACAGATATACCTCCCCCGAATCTACCTCCACCAGACCTACCCCCCCTGCCAGACCTGCCTCCCCCAGATCTACCTCCCCCAGATCTACCTCCCCGAAATCCACCACCCCTGAAAAACCCATCATTGTCGTCCCCACCACATGCACAATCCCCACCATTATCCCCATCATCACCATCATCACCATCACCATCATTCCCACCCCACTGTCCTCGGCAGAAGTACTGAGCCAGCTGCATGGGTTTAGTCGCCATCAGCAGCAGCAGCGCTTTCTCCCCTGGATCCTCCACCGCCCGCCCCACCTCGTTAAGTATTTCACTCAGCACTTTGGACGGTATCACTCCATCCATGCCACCCCCGGCTCCCTCCGTCTCCCCTTCTGTTTCCTCCTCCAAACCTCCTGGCCCTTTTCCCCCGCCTGTACCCGCTATAAGCTGCTTCAGTTCTGGGCACTCTCGCACCAATTTTTTGCAAAACTCTGCTGAGAGCACGCCCTGCTGGCAGGCGAAGCGCAGGAAATCGCCCATCTTCTTGGCGTTGGGAGGGGGGTGGCGCCTGCACGGGGCAACGGGGCAGGGGGCACAGGGGGGAAGGGGAAAGAGGAGAGTGCCAGCACATGAAACCTGCTAAGTGCACGCCCTGCTGGCAGGCAAAGTGCAGAAAATCGCCCATCTTCTTGGCGTTGGGAGGGGCGTGGCGCCTGCACGGGGGCACGAGGCATGGGGCACAGTGTGGGGGGAAAGCGGAGGAGAGATGATAATGATTATATGTGGAAGGCAAATGAACTCTGCAGAGAGCACACCCTGCTGGCAGGCGAAGCGCAGGAAATCGCCCATCTTCTTGGCGTTACTAGGGGGGTGGCGCCTGCATGGGGCAACGGGGCAGGGGGAACAGGGGGAAAGGGGAAAGGGGAAAGGGGAAAGGGGAGAGTGCCGGCACATGAAACCTGCTGACAACACACCCTGCTGGCAGGCGAAGCGCAGGAAGTCGCCCATCTTTTTGGCGTTCGGAGGGGGGTGGCGCCTGCACGGGGCATGAGACACGGGGCACAGGGTGGGAAAGGAGCAGGAGTGTTGACAACGATGATGTGGGAGGCACACGAAGCCTGCTGACAGCACACCCTGCTGACAGCACACCCTACTGACAGCACACCCTGCTGGCATGCGAAGCGAAGAAAGGCGCCCATCTTCTTGGCGTTCGGAGGGGGGTGGCGCCTGCACAGGGCACGGGCACGGGGCACAGAGCATGGGGAGAAGTCACAGGAGAGATGACGATGTGGTAAGGCATGAAACCCTGCAGGGAGCACGCCTGTGGACGGTACCTGAGCAGGGCATGGGAAGGGAAGGCTCGAGATATGATATTAACAATGGTAATGTTGGCCAGCAGCATCAGCTCCTCCACCACCAGATGGTCCGCTGCTGTTGTCGCTGGTGATTTTTATATTTCAGGTTAAGGGACAAGGTGTATTGGACAATACCTGAGCAGTGCACTGCATCAGAGGGGAAGGCTCGAGATATAATGTTGGCGACGGCGGTGTTGGCCAATAGCATCAGCTCCTCCACCAGATGGTTCGCTGCTGCTGTGTTTAAGGTTTCTTATTTAAGGATGCTGTGTTTAAGGTTTCTTGTTTAAGGATGCTGTGTTTAAGTAAGAGGCCAACTGGACATTACCTGAGCAGTGCATCGGAAGGAAAGGCTCGAGATATAATGTTGGCGACGGTGGTATTGGCCAGCAGCATCAGCTCCTCCACCAGGTGGTTCGCTGTTGCAGTTGGAAGTTTCATATTTGAAGGAGAGAAGGCCTACTGGACAGTACCTGAGCAGAGCATCGGAAGGGAAGGCGCGAGAAATGATATTCGCCACGGTGGTGTTGGCCAGAAGCATGAGCTCCTCCACCAGATGATTTGCTGCTGCTGTTGCCGGCGCCACTGCTGCACCCACAGGCCTCCACTTATTACCATTGCTACCGCCACCGCTGCTGCTGGTGCTGGTGTTGGTGTTGGTGTTGGTGTTGTTGGTGTTGTTACCCACGCCCACATCCCCAATGCCCCCCAGCTCCTCCTCCCCCTCCTCCCCTTCCTCTGCATCAAAGGAGAACCTCAGTTTGGATGTCTGCAGCTGCATGAGCGCACCCCTCTCCTCCCTTGCCCGTCTCAGGCTCTGCGCCATACGGTGCAGCGCCAGCACGTCTCCAATCACATCGTGCCACCTGTGGCCTCCGTATACGACCGGCCGCCAGTCCTCGTTCACTCTGCCGTCCAGCTTCCCCACCCCTCCACCGCCTCCTCCCCCTCCGCCCCCTCCGCCTCCTCCGCCCTCTCCGTCCCCTCCTCTGCTCCCCGCCCCCTCACTCCCCCCTTCACTCACACTCCCAATCCCACTCTCATCATCCCCCTCCTCCCTCACCTCCTTCCCCTTCTTCCCCTCTCCCCCTCCCCGCCCCCACCCTGCCACCTCCTCCCCTCCCCCAAACCTCCCATCAATCATCTCCTGCGCATGCCCATACGCCAGCTGGACACACGGACGAATCACAGACCTTCCCGCCCACTGCCGCCTCACCTCCCCCGTTACAGTCACATCCCACACCACCGAAAACGCCAGCCTGTCAACCCCCGGCTGTAGCGAGCAGAGGTCCTCGCACAGCGGGCGGGGGAGCATCGGCATGGCCTGCTGGATTAGATACACTGTCGTGCACCGCCGGGCGGCTTCGGCATCTAGTGCGGATCCGGGCGGTATGAAGTATGACACGTCAGCAATGTGAACTCCAACTTGGTACAACTCCTCCTCCTCCTCCTCTTCTTCCTCCTCTGCCTCCTCCTCACCCTCCTTCACACATTTCACCGCCCCCTTCCCCTTCTCCCCCTCTCCCTGCTCCTGCTCCCCCTTCCCCTTCCCCTTCCCCTTCCCCTTCCCCTTCCCTTTTTTCTTCCCCTTTGCCCCCCCAGCCTTTATCCTCGTTATAGACAGAGCATCATCCAGGTCTCGAGCAGTGGGCGGGTCTATAGTGATCACGCGCGTGCCCCTAAAGTCCCTGCGAACTGCTATCTCCTCTGCAGGAATCTTCCACCCACTGCTGCTGCTGCCGCCAATGCTGCTGCTGCCCCCCTTGCTGCCGCTGCTGCCACTGCCCCCGGCCACGCCACTACTGCTTACACCCTCGTTAGTAGCACCCTCGCTACTATCACCACACTTACCATCATTATCACCCCTCGTCCCACCAGCCCCACAAGGCAACTCTGCTAATACTTCCGGCGAAAAATCCGCCCCATGGATTCCAAACTGGGCCAGAATCGCCCTCGTTTCAGTCTCAGCGTCCCCTGCCGGCCCCAGGCTCTGTGTGACTATACCGAAGGGCAGAAACTGGCCTGCAGACCAGCGGGATAGCCTGGCGGCTACTAGCATCTGCCTCACCTCCGCTGCTGCTGCAACAGCCGCTGCCGCCTCATCTGCGGCTGCTACTGACGCCGCTACAGCTGTCTCCGCTACAGTCACACTCGCTACAGGCTCAGTCGCATCAGCCCCGGTCGCATCCGTAGCATCAGCAGCGACAGAAGCAACCTCTTCTATCGGTGCCAGGCTAGGGCCGCTCTTATTGGTCCTCCTCCTGTCGGCCTTCTGACGCGTGTCAGAGACTAAGGAGGCTGCTAAGACGAGGTCTTTAATCTCCTTGGGTAGAGTACTAATTCGGATTAGCATGCGGGGGAACCGAGGGTCCACTGGAGTGAACGTGACTATACCGAAGTCTGCAAAACTTGGCACTGGCAACGCTGATTGCACTTCGTTCCCTGTGCTAGCTGTGCTGACTCCGATACTGTCACTGCTGCTACCAGCAACAGCAGCAGCAGCAGCCGCAGCAGCAGCAGCCGCAGGAGCAGGAGCGTCAACAGGAAAAGCACTAGCAGGGGCAGTATGAGCACCAACAACAGAATCCTTCAATTCAACAGCAGAGGAAGACGGTTCCCTATCACCAGCTTCCATAGAGAGGAATACCGCTTCCTCCTCTCCAACCACTTCCCCCTCCTCTAGATCCACTTCCCCCTCCTCTAGAACCACTTCCCCCTCCTCTTCCCCCTCCTCTTCCCCAACCACCTCCCCTTCTTCCAGAACCATTCCCCCCTCTTCCTCTTCTCCAATCACCTCCCCCTCTTCAATCTCATCACCTCCACTAGTAACCCCGCTCCCATTCACCTTCGCATTCCCCCCCATTGCCGCCTGCTGCCCTTGCTGCTCCTGCTGTTGCTCCTTCTCTTGCTGCTGCTGCTTCTGCTGCCCCTGCTGCCCCTGCTTCTCCTGCTTCCGCTGCTGCTTCTCCCCCACTCGCTTCTTCCTCTCCACAGCCCGTCGCCTCTGCCTCTCCTTCTCCATCTGCGCCCCTGCAGCTGGCAGCAGCTCCAGCCGCCCCACCACCGCCTCTCTCCGCGCCGACCAATGAACAATCGCCACCACACGCCCCGTCAGCCGCAGATCCGGATCCCCCCTCACTGCCCGCGCCAGCCTCTCTATTGCCTCCGCCTTTCCCCCCTGCCTACTCCCCTCATCTCTCTCCCCTCCTCCCCCTCTCCCCCCTCCTCCCCCTCCTCTCCCTCCTCTCCCTGCCTCAACTCCAGTCGCTGCACCAGTGCTTGGCGCGCAGTGAGTGTTCAGAGAGCCATTCTCTTCCTGTGTGGCGCCTATCTGTGGGTCACTGGGTTCCAGTGACGGAGGGTCTACCTCCACTGCGACTGTGTCTCCTTCAACCTGCAGGCACGGAGGCACAGAGGGGTGAGGGTGAATGAGTTTTGCGAATCCGTGCATCGCCGGGTTCCAGTGACGGAGGGACTACTTCCACTGCGACTGTGTCGCCTTCAACCTGCAGGCACGGAGGTATAGAAAGATACAAGTGTTCAAAGAGCCATTCTCTTCCTGTGTGGCGCCTATCTGTGGATCACTGAGTTCCAGTGACAGAGGGTCTACCTCCACTGCGACTGTGTCTCCTTCAACCTGCAGGCACGGAGGTATAGAAAGATACAAGTGTTCAAAGAGCCATTCTCTTCCTGTGTGGCGCCTATCTGTGGGTCACTGGGTTCCAGTGACGGAGGGTCTACCTCCACTGCGACTGTGTCTCCTTCAACCTGCAGGCACGGAGGCACAGAGGAGTGAGGGTGAATGAGTTTTGCGAATCCGTGCATCGCCGGGTTCCAGTGACGGAGGGACTACTTCCACTGCGACTGTGTCGCCTTCAACCTGCAGGCACGGAGGTATAGAAAGATACAAGTGTTCAAAGAACCATTCTCTTCCTGTGTGGCGCCTATCTGTGGATCACTGAGTTCCAGTGACAGAGGGTCTACCTCCACTGCGACTGTGTCTCCTTCAACCTGCAGGCACGGAGGTATAGAAAGATACAAGTGTTCAAAGAGCCATTCTCTTCCTGAGTGGCGCCTATCTGTGGATGACTGGGTTCCAGCGACAGAGGGTCTACCTCCACTGCCACTGTGTCTCCTTCAACCTGCAGGCACGGAGGCACAGAGGCGCAGACACGTCAGCATCATTTGACTCAATTTGACTCGATGGACAGGAAACACAGAAATGAAAAAGGCTGAGTTTTTACAGCGTCTTAGCATAAGACGGAAAAAAACACTACAGATTAAAGGTCGATTCCATTGAATGGATTGCGCACCGAAAGGGGAAGCGCCGGAATTGGATGAAAGAAAATCAAAACTTTCGAAAGAAACTTACCGCTCGATTCTGTGCCTTGAGACCATAAATCAGGACATCCCGAGGAACTCCCTCTATAGTCACATACGCCTGAAGGGAAAGCAAGAAACAGCAACGCATGATTAGTGTGCAGAACTCCCTTCACAGTCACATATGCCTCGAGGAACACCACGGTACCTAATCAAAGCACGAGCAAAGATGCATCACAGAAGGCACCGAAGAAACAACAAAAGACTCCCGAGTCAACTGAATAAATGTTTTTATCTTACACTACCCAGAGCAGCACACAGAGCGCACTGCGAGCGATGGAGCAAACTTTTGGGCTGACTTTCAACCGCAAATGTTGCTTTCACAATTGTTGACAGACAAGATGGGTAGCGATACCATCGCAGACAAGGAGGACTCACCTCAAATCGATTCCGTGCGTTGACCCTGAATGATGCAGCAAAAAGGGTGCCGTCCTGCAGAAGTGGAAAAAGAACAGAAGCGAACGAGAATTAACATGATAAGGTTGCAGCAAAAGAAAACAAAAGAAGGGCAGTATTGGAAAAGCAGGAAAATGGAACGAGCATCGACGGATGCGGGCACAAGAACACGTGAAGGTTAAATAATGCAGACCAAATGACCAGTCTCAGGTAAAGGTTCACACACGACAGACGTACCTGGATCCTCTGCTTGGCAACTTCAAGCGGCAAGTGCGGGGCGAAGCACCCCCTGAAACCCTTCTCCTTCCCCCTGTCCTCGCTATTGCCAGCCCCAATAAACGCCTGAGCTGTCCGATCTGAACCACAGGTCCTCGCATCCCAACGAGTGGGCGACAAAGAACCCCACTCAACCGAAACAGATGACTTTTGGGTTGAATCACCCCACTCCACCGAGACAGATGACTTTGGAACCGAATCAAAAGCCTCCGAGCCTCCCTCTGCATTCATGGATGCTGCATCCCCCCAACCAGTTGGTGGAGGAGTCTTAAACCCTAAGCCAGTGCCATCCCTGCCATTGTTGATTGAGGGACCAGCACTGCCAACTCTTTGCTGCTTGTCGGTCCCACTTCCACTCTCTCGCTGCTGCTGCTGCTGCTGCTGCTGCTGCTGCTGCTGCTTCTTCTCCTTCTGCCTCTCTCTCTTCTGCTTTTTTTTCTCCTGCTTCTCCTTTTCCTTCCTCTCCGCCTCGTTTTGCCCCTCCCCTGCGTGCGCCACTGGATCTGTCAGGTTTCCAGGTCCAGGAGCCTGCTTTGACGAAATCACAGCTCCAGGAGCCTGCTTTGACGGAATCCCAGGTCCGGGAGCCTGCTTTGACGGAATCCCAGCTCCAGGAGCTTGCTTTGACGGAATCAGCTCTGGATTTGACTGAACCAGTTCTGATACTGACGGAATCGACTCTGGTTTGGACGGTGTAGTTTCATCAGAAGCTTCCTTTCCTACTCCGGCTTCTTCCTTTGCTTGCTTCTCCTGCATCTTCTTCTCTTTCTTCTCTCTCTTCTTCTCCTTCCTCCGTGCCGCCTTCTCCTCTGCAGCTTCCGAAGTTTCAGCCTTTTGAGGCGCCTTAGTTTCGATTGCGTCTTTCGCTACTGCTGCTGCTTCCTCCGCCTGCTTCTCCTGCATCCTCTTCATCATCTCCTTCTTCTCTTTCTTTTTCTTCTTCCGCGCCGCGTTATCCTCCTCTGCAGCTTCCGTGAATTCAGACTTTTGAGGCACCGTAAAAACCGCCGCTTTAACCCCCTCTGCAGCGTCCGAAGATTCAGCCACTACAGCTGGCCTTTCAGCTTCTGCGGCTCGCTGCTGCTGCTCAATTGCTTCCTTCCCCACTCCGGCTGCTTCCTCTGCCTGCTTCTCCTGCATCTGCTTCATCATCTCCTTCTTCTCTTTCTGCCTCTCTCTCTTCTTCCTCTTCCGCGCAGCCTTATCCTCCTCTACAGCTTCCGCAAATTCAGCATTTTGAGGCGTCTTAAAAGTCGCCGCCTTGTCCTCCTCTGCAGTGTCCGTCGATTCAGCCAATACAGCTGGCTTTTCAGCTTCTGCGGCTCGCTGCTGCTGCTCAATTGCTTCCATCCCCACTCCGGCTGCATCCCCCGCCTGCTTCTCTTGCATCATCTTCATCATCTCCTTCTTCTCTTTCTGCCTCTCTTTCTTCTTCCTCTTCCGCGCCGCCTTATCCTCCTCCGCAGATTGCGATCCTGCACCTCCCGATCCTGCACCTCCCAATCCTGCACCTCCCGATCCTGCACCTCCCGATCCTGCACCTCCCAATCCTGCACCTCCCGATCCTGCACCTCCCGATCCTGCACCTCCCGAAGTGACCACTACAACTCGCTTCGCCGTTGCGATAATAGAAGAAGCTGCTACACGTGTCGTCACAGTATCGGGGTTGACTATAACGGCGGATTCGGGAACCCCCGCGCTCATATTAGTAGCCATCGATGCAAGCGGCTGCGTGTCGTTATTAGCAGATGTAGTTTGGGTTCCTAACTGCACGTTGTTCCCTTCCTTTCCGCCTCTCCCCCTCCCTCGGCCCCTCCCCCGGTTTCCTCCCCCGCCATCTCCCCTGCCTGCACCCGCCTCTACTCCCCCATGTCCATGTCCGAATCCCCCTCGCCTTCCGCCAACCCCCCCGCTCCTTCCGCCGAATCCACCTCCCCTTCCCCCAGATCCGCGAAATCCCCCCCGACCACCCCTTCCCCGTGCTCCGCGCCCAAATCCCTCTCCCCCCGCGTTCCCCTCGCCGTGACCGCCGTCCATTGCCGATCAGGTTGCGGAAAACCACCGACTCAGAGCAGGCTCGACAATTGCGAAGCTAAAAACTTGATTCACTTTTAAGAAATTCTCGAAAGCTTGCAATTTGATATACAGCGAAGGGTATAGCGGAGCCTACGACGTTGAAAAGCTCCCGTTAGAGAAGAAATCTCTGCAAAAACTCAGCTCCGTGAATCCCAAAACTCCTAGGCAAGATTGATACCTCTCTACCGGCTCAGCAAGAGCAACAGCAAGCAAGATCGCTCCTTCCTACTGGTAAACTGGAAAATCGGTCCCGCCTCAATAAAAAACGAGGGTCGACCGAAAAGTTCGTCCAAATGAACGACGAATGCGAGATGAAAAGACAGGAAATGGTGGAACAAGGAAAGCAGAGGTAATGAAGGCAATTAGATTCTTTTTCGAGAAGGTGTGACTTCTCGGTTGCTAGTTGCTTGGCGGCTGGGGATTTCTTGGTGACTGAATCTGCTTGCGAGGGACAACTTGCCTGACTGAATTGTGGAGAAACCAAGGGCATGGCGTGGCGGATCATGGAATGCTGGTTGTCGAAACTAGCGAAGATATTGACAAAGGTTTAGGACTTGCGAAGAGTGCGCGAAGCGAGTTACCGGGAAGGATTTGGAAATTCAGCGGATAGGATGGAATGATGTGGTGCCAATGCGATTGGCCACGTATGTTCCAATCACCACTCTTGGTCAGTGTAACGCGCCAGCCAGGCTCTCTGCGAGATCTGCGAGACTCGCGGTTAGTTTCCGCGTTTTCCTGGTTACACAACGGTTCTGGAAACACCGCCTTGTAGCAACACTTTGGGTCGATCGCAACGAAAGTCTGGCCTGGCTGGCTAGATTCACGAAGTCCTTATGCCTTACAGATGAACGGCCCTCCGCCAAGCAAGCCGTCGCACACACCGCGTTCCAAAATAGTCGTACAGTAACCGCCAGAGCTATCGTCGTAGCAGCTCACCAAATCCCGTTCCAATACTTCACTACGATAATATTATTGACACCGACGAGGACTCATCGTAGTACGATGGGGCTGCAAGTTTTGACAAGTCTCAAAAGTCCACATCCGTTCCTATAATTCTCTACGATAGTGTATCTACACCGACGACGACTCATCGTAGTACGATGACGCTGCAATATTATTGAGAAGTCTCAAAAGTCCCGTTCCTAAGTTCAATACAATAGTACCGACGCGACGCCGACGATGACTCATCCTTGTACCGCGACGAGTTTTGAGAAGTCTCAAGGTTAGGACTATCGTCGTAGCAGCTCACCATATCCCGTTCATATTATTCATTACGATAGTACCGACGCCGAAGATGACTCATCGTAGTGCGATGGCGCTGCGGCTGTGTTTTGATTAAGTCTCAAAAGTCCACATCCCGTTCCTATAATTCACTACGATAGTACCGACGCGACGCCGACGATGACTCATCGTAGTGCGATGGCGCGGCGGCTGTCATGCTCGACTCGCGCTCATAACTCGCATCAGAAATCACGAGTGCAGCTCCGTAAGATCCCAAAGCAAGCGTTCCGTTCTTCCATCCCTGTCATTCCACGATTCTCCTTCCGCGTCTGTGCTTCCACGGTAGTACTCGACCATCCTTGCGTTTTGAAACGCCTCACGACTCCTTCCGCGTCTGCGCTGGTAGTATCGACCATCCTTCCACTCAGCGGACAAGCTGTCCTTCATTCTCCCGCGTCTGTGCTTGTACGACTACTCGACCATCCTTCCACTGTCCTTCATCTCCCGGCTCCAATAAAGAGCGTGTGATACGCCGGAGGGCCAACTTACTCACATTTGCAAGGGCAACTTATTTGGCTCCTCTTCCGCCGGCTTTTCTGCCGCCTCTTCCGCCGCCTCTTCCGCCGCCTGTTTCGCGGTACCCCCATCAACATGAGGTCGATGCGCGCCTCTCCCGCCGGACTCCTGCTGCTCGCCATTGCCCTCATCTGTGGTCAGTCCGCCTTCTCTCATTTCTGCTCATCAGACTGCTGCTCTCTCATCGTTGCCTTCTCTCATCGCCTGTCAGCCCGCTTCTCTCTCATTGGCTTCTCTCTCATTGCCTTCTCTCTCATTGTCTTCTCTCTCATTGCCTGCTCTCTCATTGGCTTCTCTCTCATTGCCTTCTCTCTCATTGTCTTCTCTCTCATTGCCTGCTCTCTCATTGGCTTCTCTCTCATTGCCTTCTCTCTCATTGTCTTCTCTCTCATTGCCTTCTCTCTCATTGCCTTCTCTCTCATTGGCTTCTCTCTCATTGCCTTCTCTCTCATTGTCTTCTCTCTCAGTGTCTTCTCTCTCATTGCCTTCTCTCTCATTGTCTTCTCTCTCATTGTCTTCTCTCTCATTGCCTTCTCTCTCATTGCCTTCTCTCTCATTGCCTTCTCTCTCATTGACTTCTCTCTCATTGCCTTCTCTCTTATGTCTGCAATGTCACCCATCTGCAATCCCTTCCTCCTCTCAAAACCTTTTATAGCGAGCAGCTAGGTCAATGCAAGGATTGCGCTAGAGACCACCGACAGCACCGGCAGCACGGACAGCACCGGGAGCACCACCAGCAGCAGCACCGCCGGCGGCAGCATCGTTGACGGCACCCCTAGCCCCACTCCCAGTACCACTGTGGACAGCAGCACTCGCAGTACCACTATTGATAGCAGCACTCCCAGTACCCGCGGTGGCGGTTCCAAGCCACAGTTTACCACAACCGTGGCTGTGGGCAAGGCTCGGCTTAGCTTCGGCAGCCAGCGCTGCGTGGCCGTGCCGAAAAAGGCGAGAGGGAAGAGCGCACAGGTGTGGTGGAACGGGTCGAGCAGCAAGGCGAAAGGCTTTGCTTGCTCGCAGATCAAGTTCTTTGGGACGGGTGGCTGCCACGGCAGGGAGGTGGATAGCATGGTCAACCCGGGCTCTGCTACTGCCAAGTGAGTGGTGTGGTGGGGGTCTTTGTTTGGTTGTATGGCCGTGTGTGAGGCACGGCGAGATAACACGAGCAGTGGATAAGTTTGGGAGGGGAAGGGAGAGGCAGGGAGGGGAGGGGAGGGGAAGGGAAGGGAGGGGCAGGGATGGGAGGGGAGGGGGAGGGCGGGGAAGCGAGGGAACAGAATAAGCACAGCAGGCAAGACATCATCTCTTGTGCTTCCTCTTGCCACGCCACCCCCTTTCAGGTTCCCAAGCAACAAGAAGACGCTCAGCAAGTGGGCGTCAGTGGCCTCTGTTCTCTGCACCGATGCTGCCTGTGACGCGCTGGGCTGTCAACCCGGTGGCAAATGCGTGGTTGATGAGAATGGCGAGCGCTTCTGCCAGTGGGGTGAGTGTTCAGGCGCCTCAAGATTGCCTTCCCTCCTTGGCGTCTGTCTTGTGGGTTGATGCTGCCTGTGACGCGCTGGGCTGTCAACCCGGTGGCAAATGCATGGGGTGAGTGAGGTCCTCTCTCCTCTGATTCATGCTTTCTCGCAGCCTTCTCTCTCTGAGTCGACTCAGAAATAGACTCGTCACTGCAAGTGGGGTGAGTGAGCATGGTTTTCCCACTTTTCCACTCTCGCAACTCAGCTCAGCCATTCATATATCAACCCCGTGCCATCCAACCAGCCCCATTCTTCATGCTTTTTTACATATTTCGAGGCCACCGCTTAGTGCCAACTTTTTCAGCCTCATGCTCCCAACCCATGAGAGTGAGAGTGCATGATTTTTGTCTTCGTGCCAGCCTTCCTCCTTTCCCTCTCGTTTCTTTGGAGCCTCACTCCTCCACCAGCATTCCTGCACACCTTTAGTCCTGAATTCTCATTTTCGGGTTCCCAAACAGCTCGTTTCTTTGGAGCCTCACTCCTCCACCATCATTCTCCAGACCCACCGCACTCGCACTTGCTCCTCCCTCTCCCTCGCATTTTGCCTTCCTCACCCTCACCCTGTGCCGCCTGCCCCTCTGGTGCCCCAAACCGCATTGCACCCATCCCCACCGCTCAGACTCACCCTGTGGTGCCTGCCCCTCTGGAGCCACCTGCAAAACCGTGCCTGCGACTTCAGAGCCTTCAGTGCAGGTGCCTTACTGCGCATGCGCTCAAGTACCACACTGCACCCATCCCGACCCCGCCCCACCCTGCAGACTCGCCCTGTGGCGCCTGCCCCACTGGAGCAACCTGCAAGACCGTGCCTGTGAGTGACAACAGTGGGGTGCAGGTGCCTTACTGCGCGTGCCCTCAAGGCTATGGGATAACCGCGACCAAGTGTGTTAAGGGTGAGATTGTTTGACGTTTACTCGCTCTACTCTCCACCCTCTCCTCTTCGCATTCTCCCCACTCTCCTCTCTTAACAATACTCGCCGCACTCCCCTCTCGCCCCACTCCCTCCTCTCCCCCCTCGCCCCACTCCCTCCTCTCTCCTCTCGCCCCACCCTCTCCTCTCCCCGACACGTCCCACTCTTTCTTCCACTTTTCTCACTCTGCCATGTTGGGTGAACAGATGCTGCTGCTTAAAGTTGATGGTAATGCATGCATGATTGTTGATGGTATATGCGCGCAAATGAGCAACGCGCTGAGTCCTTCCCTGTCCCACTCTTTCTCAGGTGGGGCTTCCAACGTCGGTCCTTACAGCTACACAGTCATCGCAAATCGAACAGCCAATGACAACTCTTCTCGACCCCTCACATTCCGCTTTAACCTGAATAGCTGCACCCAGATGCCGGAAGCACTGGCTAGGGTGGGCGCAACAGTGTATGGTGTTGTGAACACCGATGATGCTCCAAGTTTCTCCAGCTGCAAAGTCTAAAACGACAATTGTGAAGGCGCTAGTATTGGCGAACTTTATATTCCTGGACCCGTTCCGTTGTTTCGTGCAAGTTATGCACTGTAAGTGATTGACCTTTTTCCGCCCTCTCCTCGCACTCGCACAACTTCTCCACTTCCCTTTTTGAACCAATCACCAAATACAAACATTTTCTGTCATCTTATCTTACCCTTTCTTTGTCCTCCCATTGTTACCAACAACCAGGGACATGCCATATACGTTTCCATTCCGCTCAATCTGGTGCACTCATCGGTAGGATGACTAGGACAGCTGGATTGCTTGGCTGTGCTGTCATCTGCACATGCTTATTCTCCCCTCCACTCATTGCAAACCCTTTTCCAATTCACTGAATAAAGACCCTTCTCCCCTCATCTCAATGGAGATCCAGTGAGAATGTTCCAGAGGAAACCTGGTGTAGAACCTCCTTTCTTGCAAGCATTTGTGCCAGTCCTATGGTTGTCTTGCTTGAAAAGTCATTTTTAGAGCTGTCTGCATGTATAATGTGTTGTGTATGAGAAGTTGATAACTGTAGCCATTACTGTGATTGAGACCTGTTTCATTAGTGATTCTGACTCGGTTAGAGGCACAGCCTTGGCACAGCACAATCACGTACAGTACTTCACGCTGTTTTCCACAGCCTTTGCTGGGACACTGGACGCTGGATTTCCAACGTCAACAAGAATAAACACATTAGAAAGGACTGCCATTCGGTACAAGGATCACAAAACCCGCTATGGTAATCTCACTTAACTGAATAAGTGTGAGTTCCCACGCCTCTTGTCAGACACGCCTTGTCAGACTTGTGCGGTTCAATGCTTTTCAGTGCGACTGAATATGATTCTGTGTGTTACAGAGCGGTGAGACGCGAGTCTGACAAGAGCTTGCCTGGTAAGCGGCGGTAGGTAGGAACGCGCTCTAATGGATTCATTTTGAGGCTGTGCCACTATTGTAGGGTAGCCCAAGCACACAAGCTGCGTTACAGAGTTGTAACAAGCTGCCCCTGTTGTCTGATTGCAAGCCACTGGGTAGACACAGGGGTGGGGGTGCAGGGGAATCAGGGGTCTGAATTTTGTTGTACCGTAACAAGCTGCCTTTTGTAGAAAAGGGACCAGGTGTAGAGAGGATGAGAGAGTATCAGAAAAAGAAGGGACAAGCAAGCACCAAGAAACGGAATGGAGAGCACGTGAGGGAGCATAGCCTCCTGCAACCATTGACACCCTATAAGACACCACAGGTGCAACCCTAGATTGTGACACCCAAGATGACACACTGGATGACACGCTAGATGACACCCAGGACGTTTCGAAGCTCAGCACTCACAACAACTGGTCGTGCCTTTCACAGCAGTGAGCCCCCACTCGCACCCGTCGCATATCCACCCTCGATTCGGCGCCAGATCCAACGGCTGAACACTCGTCGGCGGCCACCGGCTATACACCGGCTATGCACGCCTTCCCCTCCGCCTCACACTTAGTTAAGTTCCCACCGCACATTGCTGCTCCGCAGAACATAGGGTTCCGCTGCACCATGAAGCTTCTGGGAAGGCCCTTGCACGCGCCTGTGTATTTTCTGGTGTAGGAGAGGCAGTTGCCGCTGACATCGCATTGGGAGGGGACGGGAGGGGGAGGAGAGGGCGGGGGAGGAGGGGAAGGGGGAGGAGGCGGAGGGGGGGAGGGGGGTGGAGGCGGAGGCGGGGAGGCTGAGGAGGAGGGGGGTGGGGCGGAGGGGGAGGGGGCTGGGAGGGAGGAGGGAGCAGCAGCGGGAGCAGGGAAGGGGGCAGGGGAGGGGGCAGGCGATGGGGCAGGGGAGGGGGCAGGGGAGGGGGCAGGGGAGGGGGCAGGGGAGGGGGCAGGGGAGGGGGCAGGCGATGGGGCAGGGGAGGGGGCAGGGGAGGGGGCAGGGGAGGGGGCAGGGGAGGGGGCAGGGGAGGGGGCAGGCGATGGGGCAGGGGAGGGGGCAGGGGAGGGGGCAGGGGAGGGGGCAGGGGAGGGGGCAGGGGAGGGGGCAGGGGAGGGGGCAGGGGAGGGGGCAGGGGAGGGGGCAGGCGATGGGGCAGGGGAGGGGGCAGGGGAGGGGGCAGGGGAGGGGGCAGGGGAGGGGGGGAGGGGGCAGGCGATGGGGCAGGCGATGGGGCAGGAGACGAGGCAGGGGCCGGGGTGTCTGGTTCTGGGGAGGCCGGAAGGGGAAAGACCCCTGTGAGGAAGTTTTTGAAGAGCAGGAGAGAGGAGAGGCGCGGGCTGTAGGGCGGAATGGGGCCTGTGAGCTTGTTGTCAAAGAGCCATAGCTTGGTGAGGGTGGCGTGGTTGATGAGGTGGGAGGGGATGGGGCCGTATAGCGAGTTCCAAGAGAGGTCACTGGGAGGAGGGAGAGAGGGGGGAAGGGAGTGGGGGGGAAGGGAAGAAAGAGGAAACATAAGATAGGGAAGGGGGGGATGGGGCCGGTGAGCTTGTTGCCATAGCTTGGTGAAGGTGGCGTGGTAGGGGGGGATGGGGCCGTATAGAGAATTCCAAGACAGGTCACTGGAGGGGGGAGAGGGGACGGGAAGAAAGGGAAGAAAGGGAAGAAAGGGAAGGAAAGGAGAGGAAAGACCGAGTTTCCAAACAACGTAGGGTGGGATGGGGCGGTATAGGGTTCCGAGACAGGTCACTGGGAAAGGGAGAGAGGAGACGGGACTGTGGGAGAGAGTCATGCGGAGGGAAGGAAGAAGAGAGGAGGAATTAGGGCTTCAAATACGAGTTCAAAATGAGGCTACAGAGAGAAGAGAGATGGAGGCGGGTGAAATGAAAGAGAGGTGGGGAATGAGACAGAGTAGAATTGGGAAGAGGAAATGGAAGCGAAAGGAGGTGTTGTTGTTGTGAGGGGTGGGTTGAGGACATGGGAGGAGTTGAGAGGACATGGGAGGAGTTGAGAGGAGATGGGAGGAGTTGAGAGGCGATGGGAGGACTTGAGAGGCCATAGGAGGAGTTGAGAGGACATGGGAGGAGTTGAGAGGACATGGGAGGAGTTGAGAGGACATGGGAGGAGTTGAGAGGATATGGGAGGAGTTGAGAGGAGACGTCAGCACCCCAGGCTTGCACTCACAGTGACTGCAAGTTGGGCAGGCAGGCGAATGGCTTGGCAAAGACGTCCAGGCGAGAGAAGATGTAGGCTGAAGAGAGGGTGCTGGTGGTGGTGGTGGGGGGGAGACGGGGGGAAGTAACGGTACGAGAAAGACTGAGATTATGGCGTCCGGGCGAGAGAAGATGTAGGCTGATGAGAGGGTGCTGACGGTGGTGGGGGGGAGAGAGGTGGGGAAAGTATAAGTATGACAGAGACAGAATGAGGGGGTGGTGGTGATGAGAGGGTAAGACAGAAGGAGGAGGACGGTATCGAGGGTGAGGGAGAGCGAATCTCTCACTCCATTCTTTTGAGTCGACTCAAAAGTCACTCCATTCATACTGACATTTCGGTGAGAGAGGTGAGGGCGGAGATTGAGGGCGGCAGAGTGGAGATCCGCGAGACCAGCAGACCCCAGTGGATGTCTCTGTCGTTTTGTGGGATGGGGAGAGGCGAAGGGGGAGAGAAAATAAGTGGAGGGGGAAGGAAGAGGAGGCGGGGAGGAGGGAGAGAATGAGTGAAGAAAGAGGAGAGGGAGGGAGTGAAGGAAGGTGAGGGGAAAGGAAGATTCTCAGCAACTCACATGGCTATCAGGTTCCCGTTCTCATCGCACTTCAATCCTCGATTGAACCGCCCTAATCCGTCATCGGAGCAAGAAGCGCCCTTGCCTAGCTAGCTGGCTAACAGCGAACCGGCCCTCTTATGAACCCATAACCAGAACCGCCCTACACTGCCCCTCGCAGCAACTCACATGGCTATCAGGTTCCCGTTCTCATCGCACTTCAATCCTCGGTAGAACCGCCCTAATCCGTCGTCAGAGCAAGAGGCGCCCTTCCGCCAGCCAAAGGAGCCCGGCACCCTCAGCGCTGTCTTGAGGTCGTTTATAGCGGGGACTGGAAGTGGGTGGAGGGGGAAGGGGAGGGACGGGGGGGAGGAGGGGGGGAGGAGGTAGGGGAATGAAGGTGGCATCGTAAGAGCTGCCTTGAGGTCCCTTATAGCGGGGACTGGGTGTAGGAAGAGTGATAGGGAGAGGCGAGACATGAGAGGAGGTGTGAGAGGAGGCGAGACATCAAAGGAGGTGAGAGGAGGCGAGACATCAAAGGAGGTGAGAAGAGGCGAGACATCAAAGGAGGTGAGAAGAGGCGAGAATCGCATTGATTTCGCTCAACGTGCAACCTTGCCTCCCATCCTTCATCCCATCCTTCCTCTCTTTGATCGGAGGTTAAGGCTGAGAAAGAAAGGAAGGAGGAAAACGACTGAGGGAGGGGACGGGGAAGGAGAGGGGGAGGGGAAGGAAAGGAAGGGGGGAAGGGAAGCAGGAGAAGGAGGAAAGAGGAGGAGGAGGACGAGGAAATCAAAGGAGGAAGGGGAAGGGAGGAATGGGAAAGGAGGCTCACGAATGGAAGCGTTGAATGGCACATAGACGGTGGCTGCGGCCGGCACGAAGGGGACGGCGATGAGGAACAGTAGCAGCAGCGAGGGGACGGCGTTGGATGGGTGGTGGCGGCGGTGGGGGTGGTGGCGATGGTGGTGGCGATGGTGGTGGTGATGGTTCGGAGAGGGCGCGGCGAGGGCGGGTGTTGTCCGCGGCACGGCGATGGGCGGCATGATAGGCACGGCGGGTGCCATGATTGGTTCGTAAAGGTACTGCTGTGAGTAGTTCTAGTGTAGTTTAGTACCACTAATAGTGGTTTAGTGACTACCACTCTAAGGTGTTCGTATGGACAGGAGGAACAGCGAGCTTGATCAGGCTTTTACGTTCGTACGAATAGTCCTACGGCACGAATAGTGCTTTCCTCCTTCGCATAGTGCCTCCCTCTTTCGCTTCGCACGAGTAGACCCTCCCTCCTCCGTCCGTACGTCCTTGCGTCGGCCGCGGGCCGAGTGTAGTAGCGACCTCCCGCGCGGCTTGCGCAGGTGGTTCCGTGCGCGGCGGAGCGCGGTCGGAAGAAGAGTGGGGACAGTAACAGTCACATGGTTCCCTTGCGGAAATGCTTGCGCGGAAAGCAACAGTGCATTGAATCTTATGAGGCGCATTGAGATTCGTTTGGCAGAAACGCCGCTTGCGCGGAAAGCAGGAGTTGGTTGGCAAGCGACAGCCAGCGCGGCAAGGGGAGCAGGAGCGAGTGGCGGAAAAGCGGACATCTCGCCTTGCCGCCCACCGACAACTGGTGAAATTCGTGGAATCGTGGGCTCGAGGAGAGGAGGACAGGGAAATGGCGCAGCGAGGCGATTAGGGTTTCCTTGCTGCAGCAGAGAGGCTGGCGGGGAGAAAAGTAGGGGAGCGGAGCGGAATGGAAGGAGTGTGCTGCCACGTGCCACACTTGTGCTGCCTTTTCTGGTGTGCGCTCGCCACGTGACGACGCGAAGACTCGCCCTTTCAGCTTCCCACAGAAGCATCCGCGCCAAAAACAAAATTCCTCTCTCCTTCGAGAATGTAGGTGGAAACAAATGGCGGAGTAAACACAAAGCTGCATATTTAACTAAGTCCTGAACAAACTACATGGGGAGGGTTGATGGACCAGTAATCATGCAACATACATATATAACTTAGACCCTTAATTTTAAGTTGAGTCATTTAAGCCTAAAAGGCTTCAGCAGGAAAACCCTGTGCTTGTGGTACGCGTGAGGCCAGCTCCCTCAATTCTTGCACCTCCTCGGCGGTTAGCGACCACCCCAAAGCCCCTGCAAACTCCGCAGCCTGTGCAAGCACACACAAGCACACAGGTAGCACCGGTTACACAAAGCCACACGCACCCATGTGCACCGCACACACCACCGCACAAGACCACACTAACCACATAATCAACCACGTCAACCACGCAAACAGGAATTAGCTGCACATGGCTGGAAAACACGTTCCAATCAAGCGAATAGTGGATGCCTCATGCAGAGTAGTACGTGGAAGAAAGGCAGCAATAGCAAGGCTTGGCTTACCTGTGCTCTGTTCTTGGCTCCTGGGATAGGAACGATGTTCCCTTGCACTACCAGCCAGTTAAGAGCCACCTAAAACGGATGGCAGTGCAGGAAAATCATCGGGGGAGTACAGAAAAGAAAATTCAGAAAATTAGTGCTGGCTTGAATTATCAGCCTGTCAACAGTCACCTCGTAGGAAATATGATCTTTGACGTTGGTGTGGCTTTGAAAAATTTCGGCTCTTCAGACCAAAAAAATGGTTTACATGGGCGCAACAGTAGCACTGAAGAGCCCAGGGAAGACTGAAAAGCCTAGGGAGGACTGAAAAGCCCAGGGGAGTCTGAAAAGCCCAGGGAAGACTAAAAAGCCCAGGGACGACTGAAAAGCCCAGGGGAGACTGAAAAGCCCAGGGACGACTGAAAAGCCCAGGGAAGACTCAAGGGCAGTCTACTCAACAGAGTACCCACCGTAGCACCAGCCACTGTTCCTTGAGTTTCCGAGAAATCTCAGACGTCAATCCTGATGACCTGAAGCCTCAGGCAGTGCTCTGCTCCCTCGTTGCTCCTTCCCTCTCACCTGAGTTTTGCGCACTCTTGCCCCCCTCTCCTCACACCTCTTCCTCCCCCCTTTTTGACATGTGAAATTTATCGAATGTGGCTTCTTGAGTATTCCCTCCCTCTCTCACCTGCGTCTTGCTTCGCCCGCCATACTTCTCTCCTAGTTCTGCCATGCGCTGTAGCAGAGGCTGGGCCTGCATGGAACATTCACAGCGGTTGGGAGGGGTAGAGAGGGGAAGAAGGGGCGGAGAGGGGTCAACAGGGTCAAAAGGCAAGCAGTTTTCACGAAGTCATGTGGAGAGAGCAAGGTGCAGGACGGCCGCCGTACTTCTCCCCTAGCTGTGCCATGCGCTGTAGCAGAGGCTGGGCCTGCATGGTGCAGTCCAAAGGGTAGAGAGGGGCAGAGAGGGGCAGAGAGGGGCAGAGAGGGGCAGAGAGGGGCAGAGAGGGGCAGAAGGGGCGGATTGAGTCCGTCAGGGTAATAAGGCAGTAGGTTTCATAAAGTCATGTGGAAAAAGGCAAGGTACAGGGCGAGACTGGGCGGGATGGCTTCTGAGGCGCCTCAGAAGCCTATGGTGCAGAGAGAGGCTGGGCAGGAATGGTCCAATCACAATGGGAAAGGCTTTGGCTTCATGAGTTGGCACGTTTGAGAATTCTCAAGAGTATTTTAACTAAGTGTCAGTACCTTGCGAATGAAGTCTGGCGAGTAGGAGTTGGCACGTGGACCCGTCGGGGGCTTCTGGGGAGAGTACTTGCCACTGAGGACACCTGGCGAGAGGTGATTGGTCGGGAATGGCAGGGTACAATGCAATGGGGGCGATTACTTGCGTGAGTATCATGGAAAGCGAATCAGTAGGACATGTAGGTTTCTTGAAAACTGGGTGAGAGGTCGATTAAGAGCACACACATGCAGTGAGGACAGAGAACGGAAAAGACAGGGTAAGCACAGGCTGAAACGGTTCACTCGTACTCGTATGTTGTGAGTCCCCGTTTGAATGGGTTCCAGGACAGGCTTACCTTGGGAGAGTGGGCTGTATGCGATGAGTGTGACGCCCAGGTCCTCACACTCCTGCTTATCCCTCACTAGCAACACGCGCTCTTTAACAGATAGACAAGCAGACAAATAAACACACACACCTTGGGAGAGAGGGCTGTATGCAATTATCGTGACTCCCAGGTCCTCACATGCCTGCTTCACGCCGTTGCTCTCAGGCACGCGGTAGAGGATGTTGTAATGCACCTGATGGGGGGGCCAGAGGGTGTGGTGAGAGGGTGTGGTGAGAGGGTGTGGTGAGAGGGTGTGGTGAGAGGGTACATTGATGATGCACTGGCATGTGCAAGACCTGTGACGCCCAGGTCCTCGCATGCCTGCTTCACGCCGTTGCTCTCAGGCACACGGTAGAGGATGTTGTAGTGCACCTGATGGGAAGCAGAGGGTGTGGTGAGAAGATACGAAGAGAGGGTACGGTGATGATGCGCAAGGTGATGCGCTGACAGCACGAGGTGACGCACGGGCTTATAACGAGGATAGAAGTTTCACCTGGTTGGAGGCAAGAGGCACTCCTCGCTTGGCCAGCTGCTGGTGCGCCTGCTGCAGCCGATCCACTGGAAGGAGACAGGAAGAATGGGGGAGTAAGGGGGGGGGTGGAGGAAGGGGGTATTTGGGGGGCTTGGTGGGAGCACGTGGGGTGAAAGGGAAGGTGGACGACACTGGCTCGAGCAACTGCTGATGTTCCTGCTGCAGTCGATCCACCAAAGACAGTGGAAGAAAAGGGTGTAAGTACATGATCAAAATGAATGGGACGGTACACTCACGCTTGTAGTTGGACACCCCCACTGCCTTGACCAGCCCTTGCTCCACAGTCCGCCAAGCCACTTGTTGGCCTCGTTGCCCCACACACATTTTGAGCCTCTCTTGCTGAGTCATCACACGCTCAGCAGACTGTGTGGGTGGGACGAGGCACTCACGCTTGTAGTTGGACACCCCCACTGCCTTCACCAGCCCCTGATCCACGCAGTCCGTCCGCCCGTCAATGTTATGTACCCCTCGTTGGCCCACACACCAGGCCTGACCCTGTCTTGCTGCCTTCATCACGGCCAGATCCCAGTCACCACCTCACACTAGAGGTGCATGCGTCCAGGCATTTCATCAGTGGGTGGGACGAGGCACTCACGCTTGTAGTTGGACACCCCCACTGCCTTGACCAGCCCCTGATCCACGCAGTCTGCCAAGCCATCAATGTACCCCTCATTGCCCCACACGCCGGGCCTGCAAGAAGTGTATGCAACGGAGATGAGATAGGGATGAGAGATACAGGTGAGCTAGTGAGAGAGGGCTGAAGCGCGCATGGTAAGGTGTCAGCCCTTTCTCTGCTCCACACAGTCTGCCAAACCATCAATGTACCCATCGTTGCCCCACACGCCAGGCCTGCAAGAAGGGTACACGCAAAAGAGGTGTGAGGAAGAAGATACAGGGGGCTGGAAAGGTAGTGATAGATAAGGATACTTCTTGGGATGGGCTGATCACGCTGTGAAGTCGAGAATGCAAGGCAAACATAGAGTTTGCTCACCAGTGCAGCTGGTGCAGGTCAACGCAGTCAACTCACCAGTGCAGCTCGTACAGGTCAACGCAGTCAACTCACCAGTGCAGCTGGTACAGGTCAACGCAGTCAACTCACCAGT